ACACACACACACACATACACAGTCACATGCACATTCATGTGTGCATACTCAAACACAAGTAGATGCAAGTACACACTCAGACATATTCATACACACGCACACACTCGCACACACACACACGCACCCACACACAAAGACACACACACCCGCACACACACACACATACACACACACACGCACACACACACACACACACACACTTGCATGTACATAGTCTTGCAGGCATACATGTTCATGCTCACACACACGCCCATACTGGTATTTGAACACACATATTCTCCTATACATGTAAAAACTTACGTCCAAAAACATGCATATGCCCACAGACGAGACAGGGTTTGGGCATACATTATATGTACACTCACTCACACTCATACATACACTTACTTGCCCCCACAGGCATACATCCTTAATGCATTTCATTCAAGCACAGCAGCACATAAATGATCCTTTCATGAATTGAGATTGCTCATTTTGTTATTGTGTACAAACACCATCCACTGCTTTGTAGCTTTTTCAACCTTCATCTTAAATGTGCCTATTCACATATTTGTGGAGAACCTGCCTCAGAGCTTTCATACTTTTAAAAATCAGCTGACGTGATTCAATTAATTTCTTTACTCTTAGTACAACCTCACTGGGCTGCGGATGAACACTCGCTATCACCTGAAGGTCGCAGCAGTCACCAATGCTTTATTTAGCAGCAACAAGTGGGTAGGAGACTTTACAAAAGTTCAGAAGTTCGACATTGGAGGTAAGAGTTTCACTACAGGTTCTGTGTATGTTTATGTATGTGTGCACATGTTTGCACACATATATACGCGTGCGTGTTGTTTGTGGTTTGTCTCTGTTGCATGCACCCTTCCCTGTGAGTCTCTTCCTTCTCATCCTCCTCTATGTCTCTTCTTCAACGGAATTTTCTGCTCGTCTCCCCCTTCTCCGTACTTTTTTCTGTTTCTTATGACATTTGTAGAATCTGTTTAATCTGGAATTTTTTCTCAGGAACTGATGTTTCTGTCTATGAAAGGATGGGATTTTAGGATGATTAAGATGTCTGGCCTGAAGACGATCAGCAGTATCATTTAAGCATTATGCTGGGCTATGTAGTGTGCTGGTTGGTTGTTTTGGGGTTTTTTGTTTTTGTCTCTGTAGAAGTATTAAGAGGCTCTTCTTAGTTTCAAGGATATTGTAAGAGCCCTTGTTGTGATTGGAAAGATAACTCCAATGTCCTCAGGTGACTTTGGCAGATAAAAATTCTGCTTTGTTTTTATATTTGTTTGCAAGTTGTTAACTTGTGGGTCCAAACATTAACTTTTAATTAATGTTTGTCTTTTTTTTTCTTTAGTTATTTGGGAATGTGATTGAACTTTACTTATTTTTATTTTTTCTTGTTTTATCTAGAGCTGCAGTTAACATTTAGTGCAGGTTTTCTTTTTTTCTTTTTTTCTTTTCTTGATTTGACTTGAATTGGAGTGGAAGTTTTATTACTGACATTGATATTGGAGGCTGACTCCCTTTTACCCCTTGTGGTATTCTGATTTTTATTTCCCAGATATGATTATTATTTTGTTTTGATGAAAATGACCTGTTAAGTGGGCTGAAAAGTCTCTTTTTCCGTTTGATGAGTGTGGAAAAACTCAAGCCTCCATTTATTTTGTCATCTGAATTATGAGTTTTGATCGGATTGTAGTTATGTTCAGTAAAGAACTTGTTCAGGCTTTCAGAAGTGGAAAAGGGTATTTTCTGAGTTTATTAACGTTTTTATGGTGAACTGTAGGTTTTTGCAACAGTGTTACTTTACTTCAGTGTTATGAGTCTTGGACTTTTTTGTCTTACAAAGTGCCCTAAGTACTGACAGTTCAAATTTTTGGGAGATAATGGTTGAAAATTATCCAGCGACATTTAGCACTGTGAAAGTATTGAATATTTGGTTTAAACAAAACAAACATTGGTTTTGTTTTGAACGTTTATGTTTGATGCTGGTTCTTTGATATACAACTTACCAAGTAAAGATAAGAACATAGTGTAGCTAGATTTTGGTACATAGATGTCTCTTAAGTCTCCGGTTGTGTTTGTGGCTGTGTCTGTGTTGTTTTTAGTCATAAACTAGGGTCTTTTGATTTTGTCCAGGTAACCTTTGTGGCGGTCTCCTTAGTACTTCAAATCCCTCTCCCTGTCTCTCTCTCTCTCTCTCTCTCTCTCTCTCTCTCTCTCTCTCTC